AGATATAAGTTCAATATAGCACACATTGCCAAAACTACTCGAACTTTGTTAGTCAAACCACAGTAGAAAATATTTCATTGAAATCAATATATTCTTTTTGAGCATATCCTTTGACCACCAGTCTTGCACGATATCTCTCCACTTGATCGTCACCATTTCTCTTGATTTTGAAGACCCATTTGTTACAAATTGGCTTCCTTCCTTGTGGTAGTGGCACAAGTTCCCATGTATTATTTTTATGAAGGGCTTCAGTTTCTTCTTGCATCGCCATCATCCACAGTGAAGCATCTGAGCTGTTTATTGCCTCCTGGTATGTTGATGGCTCACCGTCCTCTGTTAAAAGACAGTATGCAATATTACCTTCTATAACATAATCTGAGTGCCAATTGGGATGCCTTCTCACACGATATGATTGACGAGTTGTTAGAGCTTCAAAACTCTCTGGTTCTTGTTCATCATGACTTGGTTCTGCTTCAGAAGAATCTCCTTGTTCAAACTCCTTTTCCACATATATCTGTGTAGTCTCTGACTTTTCAGCGCTATCACCGTCTTCTTTTCTTTGTAGTTTATCATCTACAAAGAAAACATCTCTGTTAATGATCACTTTGCGGGCAGTGGGATCCCACAAGCGATACCCTTTTATACAATCAACACATCCCAAGAATTTGCATTTCCTGGATTTTGGATCCAACTTTGAAATTTCTTGGGAGTTGTAAATCACGTACACAATACTTCCAAATACATGGAGGTTTGAATAATCAGCTGGTTTACCAGTCCACATCTCCATTGGTGTCTTCAGCTCTATTGCAGTTGATGGAGCTCGATTCACCAAATAACAGGCGGTATTGACTGCTTCTGCCCAAAATGATTTTTCTAGGCCTGCATCCCTCAACATTGTTCTTATTCTTTCTAATAGGTTTTGTTCATTCGCTCTACCACTCTATTTTGTTGAGGAGTGTTCGCCACTGTGAACTGTCTTTTGATGCCTTATTTCATGTAAAATTCATCAAATTCTTCGCTTGTGTATTCTCCTCCATTATCTGTTCTGAAACACTTGATCTTATTTCCAGAATCAAGTTCTACCTACGCTTTGAAGTTTTTGAAAGTGGAAAACACATCTGACTTCTTCTTAATAGGGTATACCCAACATCTCCAGGAGTAGTCATCAATAAATGATATAAAATATTTTGCTCCACCTAGGGATGTAACTGGTACTTGCCATACGTCAGAGTAAACCAATTCTAGAACACTTTTGCCTCTAGAATTTGATGTGTTGAATTTCAACCGGTACTGCTTACTTGTTATGCAATTCTCACACAAAGTAAGTGATACATTTGTTAAGCCTGGAAGTAGCTTTTGCTCCACAAGGACTTTCATTCCTTGTTCTGACATGTGTCCAAGTTTCTGATGTCATAGCATTGTAGAATCTGAACTACATGAGGCAATAGAGGTTTCTGCTTCTAGCAAAGTCTATCCCTTCAGCATGTACAAGTTTGCTGCTATTTTTTTGCCTTTCAACACCACAAGCGCTCCACGGAACACCTTCATGATTCCTTTTTGTGTTTCAATCTTGCTTGCATTATTATCCAACAATCTGTAGGATAATAAATTTTTCTTCAGGCCTTTCACGTGTCACACATCTCAAACAACTTTAATTTTTCCATCATATATCTTCAATTTGATGCTTCAATTTGATGGTTCACACGCCAATGATTCTAAGGCATGATCATTGCAACTATACACAGATCCTCCTGAGACAGGTTCATAATAATAAAACCATTCTCCTCTTGAGGTCATGTGATATGTTGCTCCCGAATCAATGAGCCATATATCTGCATATTTTTTTCTACCTTCCACGGTGGTTGACGCTTCACAACATAGAGCATCTCCATCATCTGAAGTGTTTGCGATATTGTCTTATGGATTAGAGTTTTTATTTAGACTCCAACAATCCTTCTTCAAGTGACCCTTCTTTCCACAGTTGTAGCACTTTAAATTCTTCTTGCTTCTCGACTTCGATCTACCATGTTTGTGACTACTGCTTTGGTCACGTTCTGTTGTCTCCCTCTCATCGTTGTCAATGTTTATGCTTGTTGCAGATTTACTTGTTGTCTCCCTTGTTCTTGGCCGATTTTCTTCTTGTAGAATAGCAGCTGCAATGTCATCGAAGACTAGACTGGTGACATTACTGTTTGTTAAGTTGATGATGAGTTGATCATATGAATCAGATAGACTTTGAAGTAGAATTTCAGCACGTTCTTGTTCTCCTATTGGACATCTTAAGGATGTAAGCTGAGAAAATAATATGTTCAGTCTGTTTAAGTGCTCCGCCACTGAAGTAGATTCTGGCATACGGAGAGTGTATAATTTACTCTTAAGTAAAATTTTATTGTGCAACGATGTGGCCTCGTACAATTTGGTGAGATGATCCCATATCTCTTAGCTGTCTTTTTCTCCTCGATGCTTGACAATACTTCATCTGCTAATGCTAGATGAAAGTTTGCCATAACATTCCCGTCCATCTCGATCCATTTTCTTTCATATGTGAAATCCACCGGCCTTTCACTGATAGCCGCTAGACACCCGTCTTTCCCCAGGATGACCTTCATCTTTAATTTCCATAATGAGAAATTTCTCCCATTGAACTTTTCAATATCAAATTTCGTTGCCTGATAATTTGAGAAAATAAAAATGAAGATAAAAGAGACACAAAATTTACGTGGAAAACCCCTAAATAATATAGGGTAAAAACCACGGGCAACGGTAGAAGAATTTCACTATGAGAAATTAAGAATTACAACCTCTCTCGATCTACCAAGGAGAAAACAATGATAATTCTCTCTTGATAAAAAGGAGAAAACAACTCTCAAGAAACTCTCTAAATTCTCTAGTATTGAGAAAAAGCTAGAATGATTTTGGGATGGTTTTGAAGCTAAATGAACTAGGGTTATTATAGTTGAAGCTTAAGGACTAATCTTATAAATACCCTAAAGTACAATGACTAAATTGTGTAATTTACCCTTACAAATTTCAACCAAATAGATGCCACTTTTGACTATGCAATTTTCGGTGGATTTATATATATATATTCCAACTTTCACATTCCACTTGCACATTTGGTGGAATTGATTTTCAACACTATGAACACGAAAAGCTTCGAAACACTAGTTAAATTGGTAAGTTCACAATGAGTTGTCTCAAAGTATTGCAATTTTCTTAGAAAGAGAACTGGGAACGTTGAGTAGCTAAAGGGATGAAGTAATATGATATTGTATGCAGAAAGAGAGCATGGCCAATGCTAGTTTCGATCTGTTCAACGGATTATTCATCCATAACAGGTTTGCTCAACAAGAGGTATGTAACCAACCAAAAGCAAGCATCAACTCTTTCTACTTACAAATTTAGAAACGCTATGTGCAGTTGATGAACCTAGAGCATTCTTTTCAAATGGTCAAGCAGAGACTGCTGAAGGGGATGGGCGAAGAGCAAAATCGTACCTAGCTCTGACCATTGCATGGACTCTTGCTAATAAAAAACATTCTAGTAGTTCTCAGCTCAGTAGACAATTCTTTTTTATCCATTTCTGATATTTAAATGCATTACTAGACGGTAATAATTAGCCAAGCAAGCCACATGATATGGTGAAAGTTGAAAAATGCAAAAATGTAAGTGGCTTTGCGAGGCGAAGTCCTTGATGCAGAAGCATATATCAAGCAAATTGATATACAAAAGAGTTCTTAAGCCAATATATCTTCTTCTTTTTCTTTCAAGAAAAAAATAAAAAAATCGAGGATGCGATTGTTCATTCTCCAATTTGATAAAATACTAATGCACTCTTGCCTTCTGTGTTATATTTTTATTTTGGTATTATGGTTGAGACTTGAGAGTGGCAAAAAAAATAACACACAAAATGCACCTTACTGATTCTTGAATTCATCAATATTGGCCTCTTCTGCAGCATTGTGCATTCTAGTGTTGCATGATTAGGAGAATCGGAGTCTGAAAAGAAGGTTTATCATTATTCCTGTTCAGTCCACAGAAGTGATCAAGATCAAACTCATGGATAAAACTGAAATCCTCCATCAGCTACCGACCCAGCCTTTTGGCACTCCCCATTATCGGCCATCTCCGCCTCCTAAGCTCTTCACTGCTAAAGTCTTTCCAAGCTCTAGCTTGCCTATATGGCACCCTCGTGCATTCGCAGAGGCCAATCTGTAGTTACATTTAAGTAAAAAATTAAAAACTATATTAGCACCCTATGCTAATCTATGTAAAGAACTTGGAATCTAACAATCTTTCCCCCCTGTACCGAAATGATATATGGTCAAGCACTTTTTTGATTTGGACTGTCATGTAAGTCATTTGTTTACTCAAAACAGTTGAAAATAATTGTTCTGGGGCCATTAATCATTTTGCAGGAAATAGTTTGACAGTATTGTAAATATTGGGGCTATTTTGCTCCCAACTCCTAGCTTGCTAATATATGTGTATTATTTGTATTATCCTTCGAATTTGGGTTCATTTCGCATGAGATGTATATTGTTTGTATTCAATTGAGTTATTGCCTCATTTTAACTTTGTTGAGCACTAATACCACGGCGTAAGTAATCTAAATTCCAAGTAAATTGGATAAGGTCCGAGTTACAACACACTCGACAAGAAGAAAATAAAAATTATGCTCATGATATTAATAATTTATTTTACTTTATTGCTTAAAGTACAAGAAAGACACAATGCAATTTGAAAGGAAAAAAGTCACCAAATACACATCTTCTATATCTTTTATTCTTCTTAATGATAAACTGAAAGCTGTCAAATTTATCAAAGACGTTGTACAACGATGGAAGAGAGACAACATCATCTTAATAAATCTTTGGAGGTGGTGGAGACCTATAAAGATAATTAGGGTGTGGCAATGAAGGAGCCTTAGGATGTGAGGGATAGGGTATAGATGAGAGGGTTGGGAATGGGGATAAGGTTTGGGATGTGAGGGAGGTGGAGGGGATTTGTAGGCATAAGGAGGAGGTGGGGAGTTCACTGGAGGCGGTGGAGACTTGTAAATATAGGGAGGAGGTGGAGGAGACTTGTAAATGTATGGAGGAGGTGGGGAGTGGACTGGTGGTGGTGGAAACTTGTAAACATAGGGAGGAGGTGGGGAGTGGACTGGAGGTGATGGAGACTTGTAAACATAGGGAGGAGGTGGAGAATGGATTGGAGGTGGTGGAGACTTGTAAACATAGGGAGGAGGTGGGGAGTGAACCGGTGATGGTGGAGACTTGTAAACATAGGGAGGAGGTAGAAAATGGATTGAAGGTGGTGGAGACTTGTAAACATAGGGAGGAGGTGGGGAGTGAACTAGTGGAGGAGGAGACTTGTAAACGTAGGGAGGAGGTGGAGGAGACTTGTAGTTGTAAGGAGGAGGTGGAGAGTGGACTGGAGGTGGTGGAGACTTGTAAATGTAGGGAGGAGGAGGTGAGTGAACTGGTGTTGGTGGTGATTTATAGACATATGGAGGAGGAGGAGAGTGAACTGGTGGAGGAGGAGACTTGTAAATGTAGGGAGGAGGTGGTGAGTGGACTGGAGGTGGTGGAGACTTATAAATGTAGCGGGGAGGTGGAGAGTGGACTGGAGGTGGTGGAGACTTGTAGACATAAGGAGGTGGTGGAGACTTGTAGACATAAGGAGGTGGTGGAGACTTATAGAGATAGGGAGGAGATGTTGAGTGTTTGGGTGGTGGTGGAGATTTGTATGCGTAAAGAGGAGGTGGTGAATGAACAGGTGGTGGTGGAAACTTGTATACATATGGAGGAGGTGGAGATTGACAATGATATTGTGGAGTTGGAGTTTTTAGAGTAGGAGGGGGAGATTTGTAATGATAAGGTGGTGGTGGAGGAGATGCATACTTGTAAGGAGCTTGAACTCTAAAACCTGAAAATAGATGTAAGAAGTATTGCTTGGTTGTGATATTTGCATCTACACCTTCCCCTTTTATAGTAATCGATCACCCTCAATAGTGTCTACTCATTTTAATATAATATATAACAGGCTAGATTAATTTTTTTAAAGAAATGTTTTGATCTCCCAATGATGTTTTCCCACTACTAGAAGCCAGCCCATGTTTATTAGTTTATGATTTTTGAAGTAAAAGTCAAAGAAATTGGTGCTTAATTTCTTTTCTTTTTATGCTTGTATGTATCTATTTCAAAATGTGGCTTCAGCATATATTTTTATAATTCAATCCAAATTTGATCCATATGAATTCGAAACCTACCTTTTAGTTCTATATATATTAAAAATAGTTTTATTAAAATCTATTTTTTATTATTGACTTTTATTAAAAGTATTTTTTTATTAGTTAAATAATAATTAAGTTGAATTATAAATAAATTTATCTGAACTAAATCATAAAATATGATGCAATAAAAGAACATGTCTGATCGTGTAATCCTTTAACAAAATTTTTTGTCGGTTTGGTTGCAATAAAAGAATTTATAATTCACCGATTCTAGTTATGGATGAGGAATCATATTCGAGGGATTTAAGAAATTTAAGTAATCATACTCTAATTAAGTAATTATATTGTTATTGTTTCGCACTATATTTAATAATTATTAGATATGTACGAAGTAAATAACTTTGGATAAAGAAATTATTGTTGTTCCTTGAGGCTTTAGATTCAAACACCATGAATGTCAAATGTGTGAACATTCAACGTTAAATGATTGAGTTATCTTTGAACATATATTATCTTGTACTTACTCCAGATTAATAAAAATAGAGTAATAATTATTATTATATATTTTTAATTAAATAAATTTTTAGAAGATGCAATTGTATACAATTCATCTGTAAGTATAAACTAATACAAATAAATAAATACTGATATAGATAACTAATTATAACTCCGATCCTTAGTTTGCATGATCTTTAATTTAGTCCTTATTTTACATGTTTAATTGATATTTTGATCCTCGCTTTTCCTTGTTTTGGTAATAGAGTCCCTAGTTGTTCTAATTTTATTGTTATTGTTTATAAATTAGACTTTGTTGATGGGAAAATATGAGTTGTGGCGGTTGTAGAAGGTTTACCCTTTTTAGTTTGAGTTGAGAATTGCAGTCAATGATCCTATGAAGAAATATGAGGTGAAGACGAAGAGTAGTAGAGGAGAAGAAATATGAGGAGAATAACGTATATGAATTTTTGGTGGTTTAAAATTTGAATCTAATAGATAAAAGATGGCATATTATGGAAGATGATATATTATAAAATAAGAATAATTTTGTTTAAGCATATTTAATTTTGAATTTAAAAAAGCAAAATTTAAACTATATTAATTTTGAACATTCAAATGTGATTTATCATATTTATTAGTGAGTGAAAAATAATTAAAATTTAGGGTAAAGTACATAAATTGTCCCTCGACTATAAGATATTATTTTTTTGAGTCATTGACCATTAAAAGTTACAAAATGACCCCAACTATAGGTCGTTGCTTTGTTGAGTCCTCCGACTATTAAAAGTTATAAAATGGTCACTCGACTATTCATTTTTTTACCAATCTCGTCCTTTTTCGTTCAAAATTGACAGCAATCGAAGTTGGACGTTAATATGTTGACTGAGATATAATAAAATCTGATCTCTTAATATCAAACGACTATCATATCTCAGTCATCACGTTAGCGTCCAACTCAGACAACTATTATTTTTTTAATGGAAACGGACGAGTTTGGAACATAATGAATATTCAGATGACCATTTTGTAACTTTTAATAGTTGGAGAACTTGAAAAAGTAACGTCTTATAGTTGAGGGAATTTTTTTAACTTTTAATAATCGAGATATTTAACAAAATAAAATCCTATAGTCAATGGACCAAAAACTTTACCCTAAACTTAGCATTTCGTAAAACACAAAAAAGATTAAATTATTCTTTTAAAATCAAACAATTCCATATATTTTTGTTCAACCTTATCACTAATTAGAATTTTACACATTTATTTCAAAAATTAAATGTAAAAAGCTAAATTATCTACTTTAATAAAAATGGGATTGAACTCGTCAAATGACTTCACTGATAAAAGAGAAGGTTATTTTTCCTAGAGATTATAGATTCGAGCATCTATGTCTACAGTATGTGTTTTGTTAACATATTAAGAAAATTATGAATATATATTATCATTGTAATCACCTCGTACTATTAAAAAAATAAAACCAAGTTATTTTGATCCAAATCATAGCTTATTTAACCTTTGCTAATATATGTATATTGTTTGTGTTATTGATCGAAATTGAGTTCTTTTCGCATGAGATATACATCGTTTGTATTCAACTGGGTTCTTGCCTCGTTTTAACTTTGTTGAGCATTAATATCATGACGTGAGTAATATAAATTCCAAGTAAATTGCATAAGGTCCAAATTGCAACACACTCGACAAGAAGAAAACAAAAATGATGCTCAAGATATTAATCATTTATTATACTTTATTGCTTAAAGTACAAGAAAGACACAATGCAATTTGAAAATAATTCAACAAACGGTACACATCTTCAACCTCTCTTATTCTTTTTAATGATAAATTGAAATTTAAAAATTCATGAAAAAACATTGTAAAATGATCAAAGAGAGAAAACATCAACTTAGTAAATCTTTGGAGGAGGTGGAGACTTGTAAAGATACTTAGGGAATGGGGATGAAGGAGTATTGGGATAAGAGGGGTGAGGGTCGGGGTGGGGCTTGGGATGGGAAGGGGGTGGAGGAGACTTATAGGCATAAGGAGGCGGGGAGTGGACTGGTGGCGGTGGAGACTTGTAAATATAGGGAGGAGGAGGTGAGTGTACTGGTGGCGGAGGAGACTTGTAAATGTAAGGAGGAGGTGGAGAGTGGACTGGAGGTGGTGGAGACTTGTAAATGTAGGGAGGAGGTGGAGGAGAGTTGTAAATATAGGGGGGAGGTGGAGAGTGGACTGGTGGTGGAGGAGACTTGTAAATGTAAGGAGGAGGTGGAGAGTGAACTGGAGGTGGTGGAGACTTGTAAATGTATGGAGGAGGAGGAGAATGGACTGGTGGTGGTGGTGACTTGTAGATGTAGGGAGGAGGTGGGGAGTGGACTGGTGGAGGAGGAGACTTGTAGATGTAGGGAGGAGGTGGGGAGTGGACTGGAGGTGGTGGAGACTTGTAAATGTAGGGAGGAGGAGGTGAGTGGACTGGTGGTGGTGGTGATTTATAGACGTATGGAGGAGGTGGAGAGTGAACTGGTGGAGGAGGAGACTTGTAAATGTAGGGTGGAAGTTGTGAGTGGACTGGAGGTGGTGGAGACTTGTAGACATAAGGAGGTGGTTGAGAGTTATAGACATAAGGAGGAGGTGGAGATTTATAATGGTAGTGTGGAGTTGGAGTTTTCAAAGGAGGAGGGGGAGACTTATAATGATAAGGTGGTGGTGGAGGAGATGCATACTTGTAAGGAGTAGAGGTGGCTACCACAGTCGAAATTAAGAGACAAAATCCCAAGGCATAAACCAGCCCTGACTGTCCCATTGCTATAGCTTGAACTCTAAAACCTGAAAATAGATGTAAGAAGTATTGCTTGGTAGTGATATTTGCAGCTACACCTTCCCCTTTTATAGCAATAGATCAATCTCAATAATGTCTAAATCGTTTAATATAATACATAACAGGCTGGATTAAATTTTTTAAAAAGAAATGCTTTGATCTCCCAATTATGTTTTCCCACTACCAGCAGCCAGCCCATGTTTATTAGTTTATGATTTCTGACGAAAAGGTCAAAGAATACGGTGCTTAATTTCTATTTATATTCATGCTTGTATGTATCTCAAATATGTTTCTACTTCAAAATGAGGCTTCTGCATACTATTTTTATAATTCAAATCAAATTTGATTCATATGACTTCGAAACCTACTTTTAATTCCACATAAATTAAAAATGGTTTTGTTAATATCTATTTTTCCATAATTCACCTTTAAATAAAAAGTAATTTTGTTGATTAAAGAATAATTAAGTCGAATTATTAATAAGTTTATATTAATTAAACCATAAAATAACATGCAATAAAAGATCATGTCTGATCGTGTAATCCATAAACAAAAAAAATTGCTTCTGTTTTATTGTAATAAAAGAATTTAAAATTCACCGATTCTAATTACGGGTGAGGAATCACATTCAAGAAATTTAAAAGAACTAAGTAATCATATCGTCAAAGCTCGATTTTAATTTCACACTACATCTAAAGAAAAAATAAATACAGATGAAAAAAAAATCCTTATACATTATATTTATATATTAACATTAATTTATGAACTCCATTTATTGATATGTGGCGGCACTAACTTCAGTATTGATTGTCATCACCAATATTTCTTATTTTTCTCTTTATTGTTTAACACATATTTGATTTCCCTTTGGTTTTTAATAATTGTCTTTATAACATGTTTTCCTCTGTCGTTTGACACGTTTTTGATTTTTTGATCGTCTTTTTCGTTTATTCTTTTTATTATGGTTGAATTTGACATCGTCACAACTAATCAAGAAGACGATTATTTGTTATCATGATGATCTTCCATGCTTTGGACGTTCAGATTGGATTTAGATATGCAATTTGAGTTCGTTAATTGTTTTCTCACGTCACTCGACTTTGATTAGCGGTTTATCGGTAGTCTTTCAATAATTTGATCATCTTTTATGATTCTTTTACCGATACTATCAAATTTGTCCATATCTACATTTCATTTGAGTTTATTTGTTTAGGTTTTTTAACATTTTCCTTATATGATCATTGAGTGATCTTAAATGGCTAATTTTTTGTATTGATGATTATATGAAAATGTTAGGTTATATATTTAGTTCACAGTTATAATCGTAAATCTTCATTAATTCTGAATATTTCTTATTTTTAATAAAACTAGAGACATGTATCATATATATATATTAACATCAAATTTTAAACTATATATATTAAAAATAATATTACTAATATTTTAATCTTTTTAAGTTTTCCCTAAAGTAGTAAATGAGATAATTTCTCTTCAAATATATCATAAAAAATTGAATATATTTTGCGCTTAATTTGTAGGTCAGAACCGAACATCTTATATTTAGTTTAATCTGGTTGACTTTACATTTATCAGGGTTTTAATATACCCCTAATCCAATTAATCAATGACCAAATTAAAAACTCACGCTTCTTTTTCAACTAATTATGTATCTTTTCTTTCGAGTTACAATGCGCTGCAGTCCTTGTTGTTTGGCATGCTTTGAGATTTGGTTCATATATTTTAAAAGTTAAAAATCAAATGCTTTTGCTTTTTTATTCTAAAATCATAGTCAAGTTAGGGATGAATCCCTAATATTTTTAAATTTTCTTGTACTTTAATTTTTTTCCAATGTATTTTCCATTGACAATATACTTTTATCCCTAAAATTTTATAAGTTTACATTCTTCTGAAGTTTTATAAATTTACACATAACATAAAATCATTCATCGGTTCCTGTTATTAGTGTTTTGTTCAAAATTTGTCAACTTATCATGCCGATTAGGCTGCATTCATATGAGATGGCATACGATTAACAGGAAATAAAAGTGATAAATTGACAATTTTTGATAAATTACTACCAGTGTTAATGATAGAATAAATAAGTAATAAAGTAATCATAAATATAATAGTAACTATTATTTCTCGAAATCCATTGATTTAGCAGATGCCTACCTACTATTTAGTAGTAACTTTGAAATACTCATAAAAACAATTGTTATAAATTTCATCTTTAAATCGTCAATTTTGGCATAACTTCCTATACATTTACATGTCATGGCAACAATTTCAGTTTAAATTTATATTAATTTTCCAAGTTAGTTCATAAGTATGAGATTGCACATTTCTAAGATTCTAATTTTTTTCGTAATAAAATTATTAGTTATTTTTTTATATTTAGCAATTGACAAAAAACATAATTACAAATGTTGAAAATAAATTTTATAAATATAAAGAACAATAACTATAAATGCTAAAGATCATGAACAATATCAGTAAATAAGCTATTGATAATTTAATAGTAAATGGTCGATGAGAAAAAATGTGAATTTCATGTATGACCACTCAACTAAACAATATGTTTAATTTGACAACCCAACTATTAGAATAATCAATTTAAATATCAAAATTAAAGACATTAAAATCATGATGAAGGCCAGAACTCAGACGAATGAACAGTTGGAATAGGACTAAAAACCTCACTGGAAAACTCTATAATCTTCTACCATGTTCATGCATTTCATTTCTCGACTGCTAATCTAAGAAATGCATGAACAAAATCAAACATCTCCGTATTTAAGGAAAATACCGAAAACCAAATATATGAAATCAAATCTAAAAGAAGAAGAAGAAGATACGAAGGTTCTCTTTATGTTCATCATGACTCGTTATAGTTCTTCAATTTTTTTCGAGTCGCCAAACACCTCGGAGTAACATATGGGGCAAGCCTGGAGAGATAATAAATTAACAATACAGTTAGCAGCTTCTAAAAATAAATATAGGGAAAAAATGAAAATTATCATTGGCTTACCTTGTTGATGCTAAGCCATTGGGTGCCGCATCCAGCATGATAGACATGTTTGCAAGGAAGGGTAATCTGTCTCTCACCTCTTTTATATTTCATTTAGCAAATTACACATCTAATTAAGGGGAAGAAAACCACAATAATAAGATTCACCAGTAAAAACACAGAGCCTAGAGATAAAGAGGGAGAGAAATGCATTATAAAACAAGCTGCAAATATCGGGTATATGAAGGATGTTTGAGGCATGCTTGTTATTCACACAACTGAAACTACGACCTTGTCTAATTGATTTGAAATTTAAAAAATGAATTTTGCACATGGTTGATATCCCTTTCATTTTTATCCTTGAAAGTAAATACACTCACAGATACTCTTAAAGCATTATCTCAAATGAATAAATCATTTACCGTGATCGCCCAACCATTTTCAAGCTTCTCAATGCTTCACATGACAATAACCGCAAATGTCTATAGGCTCAATTTGAGGCCTGTTTAGAAGAACCAACAAAAATGATACGACCAAAGAAAAGGCAGAGTGAGTTAGTTGATGGAAAGCTGAAACCAATGACAAATCTTAAATCTGATGAATCCACCAGATTTTGCATTTGGACATTCAAGTATAAAAGCTTACAATACATTGATGACATTGAAAAATCAAGTCAGTCGGCCGTTAAGTGATAAACATATAGCTGAAATGGACTTCTTTATCCAGCTGGATATTTCTAACATAAAACAAATTTTGATTTTTTTATCTTTTTTTTCAATAAAACCTCAAGTCAAGCCAACCCTCAAACCCAGATGCCGCTGTTTGCTGCCCTTGGTGCTACTGCACATCGTCGTTAACCAGTCTCCATTGAGTCCGACATTTACGCCAAAACAATCCTTATTCTCTCCTTATCCTGTATCTCTTGTTAGATATCCGAAAACATTTCCCCAAAAGTCACAAAATCAAGACCCACATTCTGAAACACCCACACTCCAATATCCAAATTCAGATGTCAGATCAGACTGAAACTTGGTCACAGTCTACCCACATCCAACATATTGGGAAATAAACAGAGTACGAGTAATTTTCCTATAACCAGATTAGTGAGAATGCAAAATAAAAGCGGAAAAATAATACCCGAAATTGATAACGGAGTTCAACCAATTTGCTTACGTCTCCGGACTGCTGCAAATCTTTTACTAAGAGAGAAAATTTACAGGTATTTACAAAACACTCACTACTCACAAGAAAACTCTCTATTATTGGGAGAAAGAAATGATTTGGGATTTTGGGATGATTTTGAAGCTAAATGAGATAGGGTATTTATAGTTGAAGCTTAGGGACTAAATCTTGTAAATACCCTAAAATACAATGGTTGAAGTGTAATTTACCCAAGCTAATTTTTCAACAAAAACTAGCAGCCCATGCAACCCACCTTTGAATTCCAAAACACCATCTAGAATGCTTAAATGGTTCAACAATTGCTGCATGCAATCGTCCACTTTCAACAATCTTCCACTTGAAGACTGATTTTAATCTGCTTCACACCTCGATCGATGCAGCATCATTTCTGGTCTTGTTACTCTAGCATGCCAACTGAAGTTGAACACAACTTCAGTTTGTCCGTAGTCACCGTCTTTGTCAACATGTCTGCCGAATTTTGAGCTCCACTAATCTTTTCAAGTTTCAAAATCCCATCATCCAGAAGAGACCGGATAAAATGATATCGCAATTATATGTGCTTTGTTCTGGAATGAAAAGACGGATTCTTCGCTAGATGTATAACACTTTGATGTCACAATACAAGACATTGTTTTATTGTTTATTGCCTAACTCTTCCAAGAAACTTTGGAGCCAAACCATCTCCTTGCTGGCTTCCTTAACAACAACATATTCTGCTTCAGTTGTGGATAAGCAACTATCTTCTATAGTTGAGAAACTCGACTTACTGCAGTACCTCCTAGAGTACAGACATACCCTGTAGTGCTCTTTCTGATGTCAACATTTCCGGCTAAGTCAGCATCTACATAGCCTGTCAGTATCGTATCTCTACTTTTGAAACAAAGTGCTTTGTTTGTGGTACCCCGCAGATATCTGAGGATCCATTTGACTACTTCCCAGTGTACCTTGCCCGGATTATTCATGTACCTACTAACAGCTCCCACTGCATGAGCAATATCTGATCTGGTACAAACCATGGCATACATCAGACTTCCAATTGCTGAGGCATACGACACCTTCACCATGTGTGCACGTTCTTCCTCCGTCTTTGGTGATTGTTCTTTGGAGAGTCTAAAATGAACACCTAAAGGTGTACTTACTGGTTTAGCATCTTGCATGTTGAACATGGAGAGTTCTTTGTTGATGTACTCAGCCTGTGATAACATCAAAGTCCCCGACTTTGTGTCTCTCTTAATCCTCATCCCAAGAATCTGCTTTGCAGCGCCCAGATCTTTCATTGCAAACTGCTTCGACAATTTTTGCTTCAAGTTTATAATCTCTTGCATGTCTGAGCCTGCAACGAGCATGTCATCAACATACAACAATAAAATAATGAAGCTATTGTCGAACCTCTTGATGTAGCAAGAATGATCTGCTTGGCATATGATAAAACCACTGCTACTCATGAAGCTATCGAACTTCTTGTACCACTGTCTAGGAGCTTGTTTTAAACCATACAAGCTCTTCTTCAACCTGCATACCAAGTTTTTGTTTCCTGCCACTATGAAGCCTTTTGGCTGCCTCATATAGATTTCTTCATCCAAATCACCATGAAGGAAAGCTGTCTTTACATCTAACTGCTCAAGATATAGATTTTCTGCAGCTACAATTTTCAACACCAGTCTGATTGTAGACAGTTTTACGACTGGAGAGAAAATTTCATTGTAGTCAATACCTCCTTTTTGCTGAAAACCTTTGACAACCAATCTTGCTTTATAGCGTTTGCTCCCATCATGCTCTTCTTTGATCCTGTAAATCCACTTGTTGTGGAGCGCTTTCTTTCCTGGTGGTAATTCAGCTAATTCCATGTCTGATTTGACATAAGCGAGTCCATCTCATCTTTCATGGAAGACTCCCACTTGACTGAATCCTTCACTTGCATTGCTTCATCATAGCACTCTGGTTCACCATTGTTAGTCAACAACAAGTAGTGAAAAGAAGAGAATACCGTTGGGTTGGTTTAGGAATTTGGAGGAGCGTCTTAGTTCCGATGTGCCTGGTTCTTCTTGAACTGCTTCAGGACTGATCTGAACATCATTTCCAGGAATCTCCTCAAACTCAACAAATTCCTTTGTTTCAGCTTCGGTATTGGAGCTACTTGATTCTACAGTTGACCTGTCTTTGTACATCACATTCTCATTGAAAATGACATCTCTGCTTCTGATGATCTTTCATTTTCGTAATCCCAAAACCGATAACCGAACTCATCACCACCATAACCAACAAAGACACATTTGTTGGACTTGGCATCAAGTTTACTTCTTTCAGCAGAATTTATGTGTACATAAGAAATACAACCAAACACTCTTAAGTATGAAATGTTTATTTCTTTCTTGCTCCAAACTTCCTCTGGTTTTTCGCCATCCAAAGGAACTGATGGCCCACGGTTGATCAGGTAAGCTGCAGTGTTGATAGCTTCAGCCCATAGAAATTTGGGCAAGCCGGCATGTATCCTCATGCTTTTAGCACGTTCATTCATAGTTCTGTTCATGCGCTCTGCTACGCCATTCTGCTGCGGTGTCATGGGAACTGTTGTCTCCATCTTGATCCCATTGTTTGCATAGAAATCTCTAAATCTCCTATTTCTGTACTCTCCTCCATTGTCAGACCTCAGCCGTTTGACTTTCAGATCAGTCTCATTTTCCACCATGGCCTTCCATTTTCTGAAGGTATCAAAGACTTCTGATTTCTTCTTCAGAAAATAAACCCTTACATTCCTTGTAGAATCATCGATGAATGTGACATAATATAATGAGCCTGCAAGAGATAGAACTGGAGATGTCCTCATACATCAGTATGAACCAACTCTAACTTTTCAGCCTTGGGTGTCTTACCAATCTTTGTAAAACTGACTTTCTTTTGTTTGCCAAAGATGCAATCCTTGCCTAGTCCGACATCTACATTCTTTAGATCTAGCAGCTTCCCTTTTGAAAAAAGTGTCTTCATCCCTTTCTCGCTCATATACCAAGCCTTTGGTGCCATAGGTTTGATTTTCCATCAGCATCTGCTTCAACAATGATATTCTCTAAGTTTGAGGTTACATAGAGAGTACCAGTCTTCTTACTATGGGCAATGACGAGTGATCATTTGGTAATCTTCCATTCACAGCCTGAAAAGGTTGTGTTATATCCTTCTCATCAAGCTGTCCTACAGAAATCAAATTTCTTTTGAGGCCAGAAATATGTCTCACTCCCTTCAGCGTCCAGGTGGTCTGGTTTAGCAACTTTAATCGGATGTCTCCTTTTTGACGATCTTCAAGGTTTCATCATCAGCTAGATGAACCCTCCCAAAATCACCACTGACATAGTTCTCTATGATTTCTTGGCATGGGGTGGAGTGGAAAGATGCCCCTGAATCCAAGATCCATGATTCAATCGGACTGTTGACGCTTAGAATCATGGCATCACCTATCTCTCTGTCATATTGGCAGATTCCTGTGTGCCGATATTTTTCTTCAGTGCTCGACAATCTCTTTTAAGGTAACCCTTCTTGCCGTAATTATAATAGGTAAAATCTTTCTTTCCCATTCTTGATTTTCCCCTTCTGGATTTGGATCTGCTATGATTTGAATTTCTTTATGAAGTTCTCCATCTAGACTCCGTGTGCAAGGTGAGGAGGTTGATGTTTCACCCGATTCTCTTCGTCGAATTTCTTCACTCAATACCAGATCCCGAACATCGTCGAATTTTAATTTGTTGTTTCCCGATGAGTTGTTGACTGCCGTAACAGTAGTATTCCAACTATCTGGTAGAGATGATAAGAGAATTTAAGCTCGAACTTCATCATCGAATTCAATTTCCACTGAACTCAACTGGGTTGTGATTGTGTTGAGTTCATTCAGGTGTTGAGCTACTGATGCCCCTTTCGCTATCCACAAATTGAATAATCGCCTCATCAAGTGCACTTTGTTTGAGGCCGATGGCTTCTCATACATATTGGAGAGAGGCTCCATAAGACCCGCTGTGGTTTTTTCTTTTGCTATGTTGAAAGCAACATTGTGGGATAACGTCAGATAACTCCGAGGGCTTGTCTGTCGAGAAGAGCCCAGTCTTCATTCTTCATGTCCTCTGGTTGCTTTGCTGAGAGAGGTTGATATAGATTTTCTGGTACAGAAAATCTTCAATCTGCATCTTCCAAAAGCCAAAGTCCGCACCATCGAACTTTTTAATTTTCATCTTCCCTTCATCTGCAGCCATCACTCCCACTCGAATATGACTTCTTTGGATCGTTCTGACAATTTTCGCGAACCGCCGTGTATTAGAACACCTCCGTTGACAAATTCGTATCGCCGACAAAATTTCACTATTTATGAAATTCACTATTCATATTAATAGTAATGAATAGCAACCTCGCAAAAAAATGAAAAAATTCACAACCAAAAGCTCTAATTACCAGTTGTTGGGAAATAAACAGAGTACGAGTAATTTTTCTATAACCAAATTAGTGAGAATGCGAAATAAAAGCGGAAAAATAATACCTGAAATTGATAACGGAGTTCAGCCAATTTGCTTACATCTCTGAACTGCTGTAGATCTTTTACTAAGAGAGAAAATTTACAGATGTTTATAAAACACTCACTACTCACAAGAAAACTCTCTAGTATTGGGAGAAAGAAATGATTTGTGATTTTGGGATGATTTTGAAGCTAAATGAGCTAGGGTATTTATAGTTGAAGCTTAGGGACTAAATCTTGTAAATACCCTAAAATGCAATGGTTGAAGTGTAATTTACCCAAGCTAATTTTTCAACAAAAACCAGCAGCCCACGCAACCCACCTTTGAATTCCAAAACACCATCTAGAATGCTTCAATGGTTCAACAATTGTTGCATGTAATCGTCCACTTTCAACACAAGACACCTTTCGGATTCAAGGAAACTATCTCCGAACATAAGCTTGGCCAAACTTCATGGTGAATATTCCTTTTATTTTGTTTATTGTGTGCTTGGGGTGTGCGCGTGGGTGTTGTGAAATGTAAGTGCAATTGTGGTAGGGCTAGATTGGGGTTGGATTGTGTTCGTTGTTGTGACGATGACTGTGAGAGGTAGACCGTGGTGATGGTCTCAGCAATTGGATGGAAAGATGAAAGTGCCCTCAGCAATGGTATTGACGGTGGAGGTTTTAAGTGTTTCCAAATGATGGTGGTGCTATGATGAAGGTGGTTTTAGCCAGACATTGCAGCTATATTAAAAAAAGTCCACGTCGGCGAGCAGTTTATCACTTAATGGCTGAGTGACTTGATTTTTCAATGTCATTTACGTAAGTGAGCAGATTGTAAGCCTTCATACTTGTGTGACCAAATTCAAATCTCCGTAATAGTTGGCGACCACAGGGTAGTTTACCCTAAATATAGGCCTGTAAATGAACTAAACGCACACGAACGGAGGTATATTCATGTTCGTTCATTTAATAAATAAACGAACATAAACGAACACGAACATAAACGAACAAATTTTTTTTGTTCATGTTCATTCATTAAGGAATATAGGTTGTTCATGTTCGTTCATTTCATAAATAAACGAACATAAACAAACACGAACATAAACGAACACGAACATAAATGAAAAAGAACATAAACGAACATAAACGTTGGAGACCCTACCTTCTATTTTTCTTTCATGAAAAATAGTCGACAATGCAAATCAACCAAATCTACAGTGATAAATAGAGTAAGAGCTGATTAGCAGTGATGAAATGTTTGAAGATATAAGATATTTCAATCGATCTTTTAAAGATATTAAATGATTCACACAAGAACTATGAAAACAAAAGTTCATTGTCAAAGTGTATTTTCTACTTATTAATGGGTTCTTCCTGGAAAACCCATTACTTCCGCTATTACACTCTTTTTCAGAAATTACATAGAAACCTTTGTTTTATTTTTTGGCAAATTCTATATATTTTTCTTTTTACTGATGCTCATATACTTCCGATTGTTACCTTTATCTTCCCATCTATTTCTAGAAAGAAGTATGATGTTTTCTTGAGTTTTAGATGTGAAGATACCTACAATAACTTTACATATCAACTATTAAGCCAAATAAAACAGAGAAAGAGATGAAAACAGACCTGTAAAACTTCAGATTGCACTATAATATAACTTGTTTTGAAGCTTTCACTGAAGAGTGGACCGATCGTCTCCACTCTCCAGTGAACACTAGGGTTTGGGAAAAAGGGGGAAATAATATAGGTGCGAGGTGCCTCACGAGTTAACATATTGGATTTAATCTCCAAATAAAATTGGGTTAATTATGGAGTTGGTCATCAGAATATCAGATTAATTAATATTTTTAAGATACTTACAAATTGGTCACCAAAATTGATTTAAGAATATTGAGTTAAACATAAATGAACGAACATAACCGAACGAACATAACCGAACGTTCACAAACGTAAATGAACGAACGATACCTATGTTCATGTTTGTTCATTTAATTAAACGAACACAAATTCTTGTTCATGTTCGTTCATTTAATAAAGAAACGCACATAAACGAACTTCCTGCCGTACGGTTCATGAACATTCGCTGAACGTTCAGTTCATTTACAGGCCTACCTAAATATAAACAACGCCTTGCAAGCGGGAAAGATTATACATAAGGAACCACAGTTTAGCAACAAAAAAAACCCACAGATTCACTAGGTTTGTGTATTTTAGTTTAATTTCTTTTAAAGAGCATAACCATCAGTTGATAAAAGCAAATCAAGTTTAATGGATATGAAGCAAGAAAGCACATGCAGTACCTCTCATTATTTGATTTCTTCCTCGAGAAAAAACTGCACCTGTATTTTGAAACTGGGAGCAAAGAAATAAGTTATTGGGAGAGAGCTCGACTTTGAGTTCCAACAGTCTCCCCTAATTCAAGCAATTCCTGAAGTGATAATTATATAATGGAATGACATTAAAAAAAATAAAGTAAACCAAAAAAAAAGTTTACAAATACACAACTCATATTTTCTAGAAATATGTACGACTAAATAAAAGTTTAGTCAACATAATTTTCCATGCTCATTAAACTCAATGAAATCTCCTAGCAAAGGATAGCATTGCTAATAGATAACTTCATAGATCTTAAAAACAAGGTTTCAATCTTCAAATGCAACTCACAAACATTGGGCCAATAAATTCATTGCATCTTCCAATTTTTCTCGTATTCAGAGTTGTACCAAATTAAAAATATGATTCAATTGAAAGGCAAAAGAGAAATAGTAAAAAAAGAATCCAACAATTAACCAAGAAAAAGAATTAGGAAAGTTTTGCTGTAACCTCATAAGTCATGTTGTCAGGATCAACACTACCTTACCAAATGACCTCATTAGCATCAAAAGCCTCTATAACCCTATAAGTACTTATTCTTGGGAAAGCATTTAAATTACTCAACATGTATAAAGCATAAAACCTTAGAAGACTCAATTCATCCATATTAGATGTTGTTGCAAATAATCAACTAACAATTATGGATATGAAAATCCATAGTGTGTGTGAGCAAGGATGGAACCAAAAGGTAGAAAAAGAGCCATCCCCCCCTCCTTTCTTTTAAAAGTCCATACATATATTGTATACTTAGCCTTGAGTCCAAGCAAAACACTTGTGTAAACCTATTTTCCAGCCACTTCAGACCTTATGGCCTTGTGAGAGAAAGACTGTACACATATATTCAACAATGAACGAGAGTTGTACACATATATTCAACAAAGAACGATAGTTGTACACATATATTCAACAAAGAACGAGAGAGAGAGAGAGAGGAGAGAGAGAGAGAGGAGGAGAGAGAGAGAGAGAGAGAGAGAGAGAGGGAGAGGGAGAGGGAGAGAGAGAGAGAGGGAGAGAGAGAGGGAGAGAGAGAGAGAGAGGAGAGAGAGAGAGAGAGGGAGAGGGAGGGAGGGAGGGAGGGAGAGAGAGAGAGAGAGAGAAAGGATGGAGGGAGAGAGAGAGGAAGGGAGGGAGGGAGAGAGGGGGGGGGAGGGAGGAGGGAGGGAGAGAGAGAGAGAGAGAGAAAGAGAGATAGAGAGAGAGAGAAGAGAGAGGGAGAGAGAGAAGAGAGAGCTGGTAATCATAAGCATTATGCGGTCTTCGTGGGCCTATAAAGAAAGTGATAGAAAGACACAAATGAGGAATATTTTCAAAAAATGTAGTTAAATACTGTTACAAGAATAGGGAGCCACCAACCAAATGACAACAAGAAATTGTGATTGATTTACACTATTAGAGAAAATTAATATTGATGAAGCCCCACCACACCAACTTCTTCTTTAACAAATCATAACAAATAACAAATCAGGATCAATCAATGTTTTAAACAACTCTGCACCTAAGACTAAAAAACATACACTGGACAGCATATTTGTTAGTAGTTGGTGTTTATGTTGATCTGACAACTCAGTTAGCTAAGCTAGCATACAAGTGTCACAGCAGGAGAAGAAGACACGAGGAACCGAAGAGGAATTGGGAATTGAAGAGCAAGGGTTAAGGATTGAAAGAGCAAAATTAGGAATTGTATCAGCAGGGATGTGAAAAGCACGGGAAAGATTAAGACTCTCATCAGCTGACCCAGAAGCTATTGGATCAACCCAAACTCGGGAGCCCAATACACCTGCAAAAGAGATATAGAGTTAGTTAGCAAGGACATCCACCTGGCACTCCATAGATTCTCAGTACCATTGTAAACAAATAAACCGAATACCTTGTAGAGAAACACTATGCAAATATTGAATGAAATTCAATTCTCTCGTATCTCTCTTCTTTTATTCTTTTTCTTTTTTTTTCTCTTTTCTCATAAATATAACAATTGGTATCTAGATCCTTCATTCTTGGTAATTATTGTCTGGTATGCCAAATAAAAATCAAAATATGCCAGAAACTCCTTACTTTGTTGTAATACAAAAACAGTTGGAGGATTTAACAACCTTCGTGAAACAATCCCAGAAGAAACTAACCCTCCAAAATGGTGGGAATCGGGAAAGACATATTACCTCATTGGAATCCAGAATGGCAATAAATCAGGGTTATGTGAAGGAGTTTTTGAAGATTTTGACGGGCAGAAATGGAGATCAGGACCTCTCTGCTAGCGAATAGGTACAAACTTCTAATACTTCAAAAACTGAGGGAAGAAACATGTTATGGTCATGATGATTAATGACAAGAACCAACATTCTTATAAGCCTAATGAACCTGGGATTTTAAAAGCTAAACCGGATGATTTTCCAGCCAATAAGAACAATTTTAAGCCTGATAATCAAATGGTTCCTTTAATACTTCGGGTTCTATGTGGCATCGACCTAAGATTAAATTATCTTCCTTTGACGGGGTCAATCTACGGGGGTGGATAAAAAATACCTTTAAGTATTTTTCCATCTGTAGTATTCCTGAAGATCAACAGGTAGAAGTAGCCACTATGTATTTAACGGGAAAGGCAGTGATCTGGTTTGATGGATACATCTTGCAGAAACACCATGTGACGTGGAATGAGTTTGAGGCATATATTTGTCACAGGTTCATTGATTGATCCTTTTCTGATATAGTGGAGGAATTTACAAAACTGGTCCAGAAAGGCTCTATGGAAGATTACCAGGATCGATTTGAAGAGTTACAACCTCACATGCTATTACAAAATCCTACCTTAGGTGAGGAATTCTTTGTATCTCTTTTTATCACTGGGCTCAACGAAGACATTAAACACATGGTTAAGGCTCTAGACCTTAAAACACTTCCTGAAGTATACATGCAAGCTAAGTTGTATGAATTATCTGTTGAGTTTGAGAATAGAATAATGCAGAAACCTTTTAAAAACCCACCTTACCCAAACTCAATACCTTCTTTAAACCAACCCCACTGACATTACCTCACAATAGCACATTAATACCACCTTCAAAACAGAATCTCATTGACTATAGAAGGAAGAATTGTAACCCCCTCAGACTGATGCGGGTAACCTTATCCGATCTGGAGTGTCACATTAGGGCCACCGGAGCAACCCACTGTAAAAATCTCAGAAAATTTAAAACCATTGTCAAAACATGTAAACTCATAAAATGATTTATTAATACAAAATAAAATTTATCAGTATTCAGAAATAAAACAGATTTTCAAACTCATATATATATAACAAAATACAATTACATACCCCATAATCACATGTACCATACTCTGCAACCAATGCAGAAGAACTTCTTTACTGATGTCAATAGATGTACTGGTACGAATCTTTTAACCTGAAAATATGAGTAACAGAATGAGATTTGGAAAGCTCAATAATACAGAACTACCAGATGATGCTGAAGAATGTGCAGATACAGATAAACATATATTTCCTTATCGGTTCAGACATCTACATATCTTTATGTTGAGCGGAAATGTAACACCCCAACTCGTACCCGACCCGGATACGAGTCAGAGATATTACATTTACTTTTAAAACACAACTCTTAACAAATAATAGCAAAATACTTGAACTTATATTAAGAAAATACGATAATATATATATGGTAATATAAGTTTGCCAAAATATTCAGAGCATACACAACTTAACCCTTTAATTACATGCCAACTTCCAATTACATAACAAAATGACCTACTGATTAAGTTGCTTCTGATCTGATGGTTGCAAGAGTAATATTGTCCAGCTGCTTAACCTTGCTCGTCTACTTTCTCGGATCCTACGTGTGAAACACTCACACGCTAAGTCATCGACTTAGTGAGGCAATATAATAATAACAATGAAATATAATGGAAATGTCAACATGGGATGAAGTATTAAGATAATATATATATATTCAATGCAATAACCATAATCATGTTTCATACATGTATACTTATCAAATTAACATTCATGAGTTCAATTTATTAAGTTTACTAGCCCATGATACCATACTGAGAACCTAAGGTATGTGAGTACTATGAGGTTGTGCACTATGTTGTCACCACAGCTCATATAAATGCACCGAAGTGCCGCGTAGAATTACACCGTAGTGCCATATAATAATGTCCATAAGGACCACATATAATTTCTTAAGAATCATATACATACTAGGGATCAGTATGTCTCACAAGACTTCACACATGTTCCAAAGAATATATACATATCCCGAAGGACCACGTAGAATTTTGTCCCGAAGGACCGCGTAGACCCTCTACCCTTGGCATGCCAACTATACCTATAGTTCTCATCTACATAACATGGGCTTTTATATTTCACGTAGTTATATCGCGTAGACATGTAAATTCTTACCTTTTCACATAGCTCATATAACTTTTCATGCATATTCATATCACGTAATGCATTTTGTATAAATTCATGTCATGTCTCATAATACAGAATATGATCATGTATCAAAATATAAAATCTAGACTTATCACAAGTCTAGAATTGAGTATAGTTCTATAATCATGCTATGCATATGCTCTCACCTAGATCTCCTTGTTTTTCCCTCGATCGTTCTTACTTCCCAAACATTCCAAAACTGATTTAAGCTCGGTATCTACACAAATATACAATTTAAGGCAATCTATCAAAATGTAACCTTAAAATTTGATACTAAAAGCTTAAACGACTTTAAGAAATCAACATTTCCATTTTCCTTTAGGGGGTATCGATACCCTAATGAGGGAATCGATACCCTCATGACATTCTGGAATTCTGCTCATTTGAGAGGGTATCGGTACCCCTTTGAATGGGTATCGATTCCCCTAGCCCATAAATCATTTTTTTTGAACTCGAAAATCCCTTCATATTCAGCTCCATACCTCATACTTCACTTCCATTAATATTCCTAACTTTCATACACATAATTAAACTCGTTTCTACTCCATAATTACTTCCTTAAACTCCAAATCCTATCTTTTACATGATATTCAAGAATCATACTAAAATACCAACATGTTCTAACTTTAATTCTATTACCTTATACTTCTTAATTAGCTTGATAACAAGTCAAATCCAACTTCTAATTCTTATTATAACCTCTAATCCAATATTTAATTCAATGGCTTCTAACATTTAATCTCCCTTAACTTACAATTCTTTGAGTTTCTACACCTCTTTTTCCTTCTATAATCTTTCTTAAGGCTTCTATAATTAAAACCACGCTTGAAGTTGAAGGATTAATCAAGAGAAATTAAACTCACCTTAGCTTGGGCTCTTCACGTTGAAGAAGAAAATGAAGAAGAAATAAGAATCAAGAGTTATCTGGAAACTCTTGTTTCTTTCACTTGGGTATTATAATACCCATTATCTATTATTTAATTATTACCTTTGCTCAATGACTCTTTTACCCTTTTAATTCTCATTCACTTAATAATTTATCCTACCCAACATCTTTAATTAATTCTTTCGCTTTTTCGATTAATTTAATTTGATCACTGATATTTTAAAATCTTACACTTTAATCACTAACCCGGTATTGAGGATGTTACAGGAAATCCTACTGATATTCCTACTGACATTTCAGGTAGTAGCAGACAGTGAGCTTTAAGTTTAGAGAAATATTTCGGATGACTGAGTTCAGGAGATCATAATATGTTATCTAGTGTGTTCCCGTAAAACCAGTGAAAAGATACAGATCTTTTTAAAATATATTTTTAAAAAATATTTTTAAAAACATAACACTACCTCCATCCTTTCACAATCTGTTTATGTAGGTTCCCCA